TCCTCCTCCTCCTCCTCCTCCTCCTCCTCCTCCTCCTCCCCTCCTCCTCATCTTCTTCTTCTTCTTCCTCCTCCTCCTCCTCCTTCTTCCTTCTTCCCTCCTCCTCGTTCTCTTCTTCTCGAGACAGGGTTTTTCTGTGTAGCTTTGGAGCCTGTCCTGGAACTTGCTCTGTAGACCAGGATGGACTCGAACTCACCTCCCAAGTGCTGGGGTTAAAGGCATGTGTGGCAACACCTGGCAATTTTTTAGTTTAATTTTTGCATATCTTTCCATACGTTCTAGATATTCACTCCTTGTTTGTGTAGAGCTGCTGAGGACTTTCTGGCACCCTGTGGATCAGCTGATCATTCTATTTTTTGGGATTCTTTCCTGCTCCTTGAGTCCTGTCTAGAAACCCTGTCTGTGCCTCTATCTTGAAATGCCCTACATTGTGCTCTAGCAAGTTCAGTGTCTTAGCACTAAGTTAAGGTCTTTAATCTGCTTTGAATTGTTTTTTTGTGCAGAAAGAGAAAACTGAATGGATTTTAATTATTCTTCAGGTGGGTATCCAGTTTTTCCTAGCACTATCTGTCAAATAAGTATTTCCACTCTAGTATATCATTTTGACCTTTTCATCAAAAATTAGAAGGCTGTAACCGTGTGTGTACATTTCTGGGTTTATTATTATGTTCCAATGGCCTACATATCTGCTTTTGTGCCCTCACTGTACAGTCTTTGTCACTGTGATTGACTGGAGTATGAGGTTAAGTACTGTGACATTGCTGGAAGCTTATTTCTGGTCAGGACTGCTGTGGCATTTTTGTGTCTCCACAACACTTTTAGGATTTTTTTTGTCTAGTTCTAGGAAGAATAGCACTGGGATTTTGATGGACTCTCATAGAATTTGTAGGTTTGTCATTTTCACAGTATTAATTCTGCCAATTCAGGAGATTTGGAAGTCTTCCCCAAATCTTTTTATACTCTTCAATTTCTTTTTTCATTGTTTTAAAGTTTTCATTGTTCTGGGTGGTGGTGGTGGCACACACCTTTAATCCCAGCACTTGAGAGACAGAGGCAGGTAGATTTCTGAGTCTGAGGCCAGCCTGATCTTCAGAGCAAGTTCCAGAACAGCCAGGGATACAAAGAGAAACCCATCTTGAAAAAACCGAAAGTTCAGTAAAAACTGGGAGGTGGTGGCACATACCTTTAACCCCAGGAGGCCACCAATCATGTGGTAATTAAACGAGTCAATTGTGCACTGTATTGAGCAGCATCTAAAACATGGTAAACCTAACGCTATCACAGTTACTGAAAGTTTGTGTTTGGACACCCATCTCTTCTTCAGTCTTCTTTGTGACTTCATTTTAACACTAGGTGGCAGCAGCTCTCACCTACATTAAAATGAGGAACGTTACCTAACTGCAGGATAAGGGAGAGGTAGCAGCAAAATGGGGAAGAGATGAAGAGATGGAGGTGAAGATGGGCATAAACAAGAGACACAGAAAGAGGAGAGAGGAAGAGGGGAAGAAAAGGGAGGTAGAATTTGGTAATTTATTTTAAAGTTAGAATACAAAGTAATGGGCTTTATCCCAGGAACTTTAGATATGTATTCACTTTGTTCAAGTTCATTATCTTTTCTTACTGACCCTATGTCCCTTCCTGCTAGAATTTGGTATTTCCTTTCCTTTTTTTTTTTAAGACAGAGTTTCTCTGTGTAACAGCTCTGGCTGTTCTGGAACTCACTCTGTAGACCAGGCTGGCCTAGAACTCATAAAGATCCATTTGCCTCTGTCTCCTGAGTGCTGGGATTAAAGGTGTGTGCCACCACCACCAGGATCTTTTTTTAAACAATAATTTTTATTTTTATGTGTATGGGTATTTTCTCCTTGCATGCATGTAGTGTCTGCAGAGGTCAGATGATGGCTTCAGATCTCTTGGGGCTGCAGTTACAGAGGGCTGTGAATGGCTATGTGGGTGCTGGGATTCGAATCTGTGTCCTCTGGAAGAGTAGCCAGAGCTCTTAACTGCTGAACCATCTCTCTATTCCTTAAGATTTTATTTTATGTGTTAGGGTATTTTTTTCTGCATGCATGTCTGTGCACCATGTATGTACATGCCCTTAGAGGCTGGAAGAGGGTGTTGGATGCTCTGGATCAGGAGTTTCAGATGGTTGTTAGCACCACGTGGATTCTGGGAATGGAATCTGGGTCTTCTGAAGAGCAACAGGTGCTCTTTTTCACTGGGGTATTTCTCCAGCCCAAATTTGGTACTTCTAGAGAAAATTCAGAAAATAGTCTTTATTTGTAGGTCTTTATTGGACAGCCATCTTCCACACCCTTGAATGTTTTAAGTTTTATTTCTCCTGTAGCTGTGGGGGTGCAGTGGTGTCATATACTCTTTGTTGATATAGTTAAGGATTATGAGTGGGTCTGGATGAGAGTTTTTGCTAGATCATCGTATGTCACATGTCTGCAAAAAAAAAATTCTTTTTTTTGGGTGGGGGGAGGTTTTGAGAAAGGGCTTCTCTGTGGCTTTGGAGGCTGTCCTGGAGCTCACTTTATAGACCAGGCTGGCCTCGAACTCAGAGATCCGCCTGCCTCAGCCTCCTGAGTGCTGGGATTAAAGGCGTGCGCCACCAACGCCCGGCAAAAATGTGTAGCCCAGGCTGGCCTCGAACTTGTGATCCTCCTGCCTCTTCCTCCTTCCTCAAATCCTACAGGCGTGCGCCACCACAACTGGCCAAAAATGTTTTCTGTTCGTTATTATCTTACTCTTCTCCTCTTCCTCCTCTTCCCCCTCCTCTTCTAATTCAGGCCAAAGTGTAAATACAGTCTCCTACTACCACAAATTATGCAGTGGAGCATCTCACATTTGGGGAACTTGCTGGGCTCCGCACGTCCAGAGTGTAAAGGATAAGCCTCGTCTTGGGAAATACCACCTTTGTGATCACGACATCTCCCTTGCCAGCTAAGTATAGGTTGGATTGTCGAGGTGGCTCAGGGATAAAGGCTTGCGGCCAAGCCTGATGACTTGCATGTTTGAAGCCACCCTGGGCTACATAGTGGTCCTAGGCCATTCTGGATTGACTGTTTCAATAAAACCAAAAGCAAAGAAGTGTGACAGGTAACAAGATTGGTGTGTTTGACCTTAAAAGCTGGCCTTGTAACTTGATACCTACTGAGTGCCCATTCCCCTCTCAATCGGAACTCTTTGCCTGTTTTATCATAGAGTCGTCGCTACTCAGGATGATATAATATGTCCCTTCCTGAGTCAGAGACTCTCGAGCATTATCTGTAACCCTTACAACCCAGGAAATCTACACACAAGATATTCTTCTTGCTTTAGGATCAGAGGAGGGACACTGGGAAGGTCCTGGCCTCAGCCAGGAGCAGCTCTGGCAAACCCTCCCGCATTGTGCCACCATTTGCTTGGGACCCTAAGAAGTGACTAGATGGACCCTCACGGTCACTGTTTTGATGACGATCCACACAAATTCATCTGCTCTTTGTAGAAGCTATCGCCAGAGCCTCGACTGTAGGCGTGACTCGTGAGGTGTGACTCCCACCGCGGACCGGTTGAGTCTGAGCATCCCCTTGTGCGCACACAAAGCCCTTTATTGAAGCGGCGGTTGACGCAGAGCGAGCGCGGGGCAAATAGGAGCGCATGAGCAAGCGGGCCGGCGCTAGAGCAGGCACCAGCAAGCAGGCAGGCGCGCGTCCGCGGCAGGGCGGCTGCGAGTGCGCGGCCATGTGCGCCTAGCCCTGGGTCGCGGGGCCGCGGCTCCAGCCCGGTACAGAGGGCTGGGAGCCGATGGGTGTGGGAGGGCCACGAGGGCAATTAGCTGCTCCGTCCCAGCCTATTCTGTCTGGAACTGCACCCTGGAAAGGGGGGTGGCCAGTGCAAACCTGGCGATGCCGGCGCGTAGAGCTGCAGGTTCATTGTCCCTATCACAGCCACAAGGGCGCGCAGCTGTGATACCCGGCGTGGGGACTCAGGTGCAGGCAGTGACCACTTATGGTGCCATGGCGTACGGCTGCCTACTGCAACCTCGGACAGGACGACTGTCGTTTGGTTTTCCCTCTCCTTCGATGGTGTCTGAACTGAGAACGACTGCCTGAAAACGAACAGAACTAGCTTTTATGTTCAGATACAACGAATATTTACGAAAGTGCTTCCTGACACCCTTCAATGCTTTGTCGCGACCTTGATTATTTGGCTATAACATATTTAAATTAGATCTGTTAACTAGAACTGTTGCTGTTCTTTCAGGCAAAGTGAATAGAGCATCTGAGACGATACATCAGGCTCCTATGTAAGGAAAAGATTGTGATCGTTCGCTATGGCATATGGCTTGCCAAGAAGAAACACAGTGCAAACCATTTTGAAGGGCAGCTGTTATAAAATGTAAGTACACACACACACACACACACACACACACACACACACACACACACTCACTCTACGGTAGTATTGCTGGAGTTGTGATCCACTGCTTTTGCAAGGATCAGAACTTTGGTTCCTAGCACATGCTGGCTTACAATAGTCTCTAACTCATTTCAGGGGACCTGTCACCCTCTTCTGGACCAAATGGGCATAAAGCATGCATGACCACACATACATATGTGAAAGGAAAACACCTATATAAAATAATCTGAAAATTAGATATGCATACAGGGGAGGGAAGGATTTATTTGGTGTCATTTCCAGGACACTTTCACACCATAGTTCATCACGGAGGTAAACCAGAGCTCAAACTCTAGGCAGGAGCTTGAAGAAGAAACGTTGGAGGAACACTGCTTGCTGGCTGACTCAAGGCTCATGCTTAACTAACCAGATATACCCCAGGCGACCTGTCCCCAGGTAGTGGTGAAACCCACTGTGGTCTGGGCCCTCCTATGTAATTAACAGTCAAGATAAGCCTCCACAGATGAGGCCACAGGCCTTGTGATCTGGGAAATCCCTCAGTTGAGACTCCCTTCTTAGGTCATTCTAGGATGTGTCAAGTTGACAGTTACAACTGAGATACAATTCTATTTAGTCTTCACACCAAAGTAAGACTTTGAAATGAGAAAATAGTTTTCTAGGTTGATCAAACCACAGCCACGTGTTTATGATATTCTGGGGGAGGCTCTGTCACCTTTCTTAAAAACATTTTAATTTTTAAGTTAGCATATTAAGTAGTGGGCTTCTTCTTCTTCTTCTTCTTTCTTCTTCTTCTTCTTCTTCTTCTTCTTCTTCTTCTTCTTCTTCTTCTTCTTCTTCTTTTCTTCTTGTTTCTCAAGACAGGCTTTCTCTGTGTAACAGTCCTGGTGGTCCTGGAACTCACTTTGTAGACCAGGCTGGCCTCAAACTCATTGAGATCTGCCTGCCTCTGCCTCCTCAGAGCTGGGATTAAAGGTATGAGCCGCCACCACCAGGCAGGTTTCTTAGTATATATGTCTAAATGCATATGTCTGTATGTTTTTCTTCCATTTCAGTCATTCAAAACCAGGTTCACTGCTGCCATCTTAACACACATCTTTAGAGTATACAAATATACTAATAAGACTTGTATAGAACACTTCCTTAGCTGGTGTACAAAGATTCAGTTTAGCTTCCTGTCCTCTTTGGCAGGCAGTGTATGTCAACATGGACTTTTCAGTCTGGAGTCCTGGGCTCCAAGCCTGGCTCCCTTTGTACACTGTCTTATCCTTATCTTCCACATCTGTAACACAGTGCATGCTTATCTCCCGTTGAGGGGCTTGCAAATGAACTGATGCAGGTCTAAGACCTGCTAGTTGCCTGGGTTATAGGGAACACATAACGAACACACACTTCTACCACCACACAGTAGTCACAGTCTGTGGTATTGCCTTAGAGAATTGCATTTGTTTTACAGTGTGTTTTGAGACAGTCTTATTGTGTGACCATAGCTGGCCTGAATGAGCTGTTTGGCTGTTCAGATCAGGCTGCCTTCTGCCTTCTGCCTCTGCCTTCCAGGTGCCAGGATTAAAAGTCATGCACAGCCATGCTTGACTTTTACTTTTTAGCCCCTCTGTTTTGGTTTATGACATTTACCATTATGAGTCAAGCAAAGTTTTCTTTTTAAATAATGTTCTGAGATGTCAGTGTGGATCCTTAAAGGCTACATGACTAGAGTGGCAGGGAAGTTAACACTTCATTACATTCCGCTTGGTTTTGCCAGTCCTGTGTATTTAAACCTTGGATTACATAAGGTACCATTCAAGTAAGTATCATTACAAGTGTAATTTTAGCCAGGTCAGGTGGCACAGGCCTGTAATCCCAGTGCCTTGGGAGGCTGAGGCAGGAGGATTATAAATTAAAGACCTGCCTGGGCTATTTAGGAACAACAACAACAACAACAACAACAACAACAACAACCAAGGAAACAAAATAAAGAAATAAGACATAAAACACACTAAACCTACAGTAGGAGTTGATTCTCTCCTGCCACTTAGGGATCCCAGGGATCAAGTCTGGGTCATTGACCTCGATGGCACAAACTCTGACCTACAGAGCCATCTCAGTCTGTTTTTTTTTTTTTTTTAAACCAGAGTGAGAATTTTTACATCTTTGTGATTTTTTCCACTGTTTCTATAATAATTTTACACTGTTAAGTCACTCCCTAGAATTGCATGATGAGCCGGGTGGTGGTGGCAGCACGCACATTTAATTCCAGGACTCAGGAGGCAGAGGCAGGCAGATCTCTGTGAATTTGAGGCAAGCCTGGTCTACAATGTGAATTCCAGGATAGGCTCCAAAGCTACAGAGAAACCCTGCCTCGAAAAACAGAAAGCAAAACAAAACAAAATTTGCATGGTGAAGTATCAGCGAAACTGGAGGAGAAAAATCAAAGGATGGCATGTGTCACATGTCCCCCCACTCATTAAAGTAAATGGGGCTGACGGAATGTGGACTGTAGAAACATGTAGCTGATATTTGTCCCTCAGAATTAAGTAAAATTAAGGTTCATAACAATCTTTTTTTGTTTTGTTTTTTGAGACAGGATTTCTCTGTCTTTGGAGGCTGTCCTGGAACCAGCTTTTGTAGACCAGGCTTGTCTGGAACTCACAGAGATCCACCTGCCTCTGCCTCCCGAGCATATGGCCTCCCTGGCCATAGCAATCATTTTAATGTAGTTTGTAGTTTCATTTATTTCTCCAGGTTATATATGAAGTCCTTGCATATGCTACATAGCCTGCTCAATGTGTGATGTACGTTCTTTACTTTTTGTGTATGAGTATTTTGCCAGCATGTCTCTCTGTGCACCATGTGCATGCAATACCCTCAGAGGTCAGAACAGGGTGGTGTTGGATTCCCTGGATATTGGATTTTCCCTGGAATTGAAGTTACAGATGGTTGGAAGCCACCAGGTGTGTGCTAGGAATTGAACCCTGGTCCTCTACAAGAGCAACAAGTGCTCGTAACTACTGAGTCATCTCTTCAGTCCCATCCCTTTGTTGTTTTTTAAGACAGGATTCTACCATGTGCACCAGGCTGCTCTAGAACACAATATATTCTAGGCTGGCCTCAACCTCACCATCCTCCTGCCTCTGCTTCCTAAGTACTAGGGTTATAGTTGTCCTATCAACTCAGGACTGCAAGTGTGCCCTATCATATCCAGCTTATGATATTATTTAACCCACAAAAGACATTTCAGGTGGGTGTGGTGGCACACACCTTTAAACCCAGCACTTGGGTGGTTTCAGAAGCTGGCAGATCTCTGAATTTGAGGCCAGGCTGGTCTATATAGAAGTTCCAAGCTAGCCAAAGTGTGACAGTGAGACCCTGTGCCAAAATAAAAATAAAAAAAAAATATTTTTGGTTGTGAGCCTAGCCTTTAACGCTGAGCCATCTCTCCAGCCCATTTTTCCCTGGTGTAAGAAGGGAATTTGAGAGCCCATCCC